TTCAATTGAACAAATCAATCGCATGAACTGCCTCTATTTCAAAACAATCTGTTTTTATTTCAACTCCTCCATCAGATCGTTTAAACCTCAACTTACGAGGTTTAAAGACAATTTAATTTATAATGAAGAATAATAATTTATAACTCCGAAAAACTTTTTCCACCAATATTTTGAAATTAAAAGATTATTGGTTCAAGTTTTTCTACACAGAAAAATATTAATATTCTTATTAATAAAATACATTCACTGTTGTCTTACATAATTTATTTTTAATAATTTTTCTCAGGAAGACTTAAACTCGCACTCACCAATTTTTAGGTAGAAAATTTCATTGTTTCTCAATCTTTTGTTTGTTCTATCACGTTGCATGTAAATGGGATTGTACTTACTCAGCAGTCAATTTTTTTAGCGCACTGTTAATAAATAAAAATTAGGAAGAATATAAAAAAAAAATAATGCTATTGACAATATAAATTTATAAACTCATTAAGTTCATGAGTTACTAAATTTATAACAACAATGAAGAATTAAAAAAAAAACAAAAAAAAACTGCTATCTTTTTGAAGGTCGGAAATTGAAAACCATCTACCAAGGTTTTCAATTTTTTGTAATTGTCATGTGAATTATATTGCCATGATTTTTTATTTTAAGTTTTTAACGATAAACCTTTTACATTTTATGCTACATTTTTAGTTACAAAGATAAGATCTTTTTATTTTAAGCTTGCTTGATTATTGCTTACTGATGAAATCTAAGTTTGGAGTTTAGCTTAAAACTCCAAAAAGATGTTTATTTTTTAAGACTTAGCAAACGTGTAAGTTAAGTAAACAATAAACATGTTTGCTGGCTGTTGTAAAAGAAAGATACTTTATTTTGTTGGGAGTAGTCACGATAATTTATTTTATTTCTCAGTGCGAAGATAGTTCAAATATCGCTGAAAATAACAAATTTTGAAGGTATTTTGAAACGTCCTACCGAACTTCCATGGTTCTTGAAATAGCCGGATGGTTATTTTTTTTTTACCTATTATTCATTCTAAAAACTGGGCTTATATTAAACGGGGAAATGGAATTTTTCACCGGTTCTTCAAAAGCACGAATTTCAGTGACGCAATTTTAATATAAAAGAAAATGTTAATAGTATATTTAAAACATTTTTCTTTTGTTAGTGGGTGAGACTGAGGTGTTTTAATTATTGGTATATTTTTTCCATTCAAGTTTTACAAGTGAAATGTGATAGTAAAAAATAAAAATTGTTTACTTTTTTATCATCTCTATTCTAATCACACAATATGGCTCCTTTTTGGTCAGTCAAGCAAGCAAGACTTTGTATAAGATCCTGGAAACTCGCCAGTTTTTTTTTTTTTTTACAGTATTCCTTCCTAATTTGAACAATTTTTTACTTTTATTGCTGTACTTTAAAGAAATAATTAATTTTTGTATATATTTTAATGAAAGTCGTAAAAGTTGTTTAAGAGAAAGAAAATATTCTTAGACTAAGAATATTTTCTTTCTTTCTTTGTCTTGTACTGATTTTTAGTTAGGCTCATTTTAAAAATGCTCTTTCTTTTACATTAGCTCTGCATCTGTTTTACTAGTTTCTGTACATAGGCATCGCAAGTGAAAGTCGTTGAATAGTAGAGGAAGAGATTTCCTTAACTTAAGGTGACCCCCCCCCGCAAACCATAAATCAACGAGGAGTAGCAAACTAAAATTAGGATACTAAAAAAAGCAAAGCTTCAACCAAAAATAGATTAAAAAAAGTACTACACTTATAATAACTGAGCAATATTTTTAATAAATTTTTGTTATCAGACTTTGCAATAAGACTCAAACAAACACTAAAACTAAACAGCTATGTACATAAATTTTTTTTTTTTTTTCTTGCCTGGCACCAAACACAAAAAGTCGATTGAGCTTTTTGGTGAGAGGTGGCGGGGGACGAGATTTTATTTTGTGATGAGAGGGCCATTTCGGTTAGGTACAAAAAAAAAAAAATTAACAAACCTCCCTAGTTTTAAGTTAATATTGACAAGAATTTCTCAATATATTTTTTTTTTATCGGTGTTTTCATCAAAATTTCTTTGTTATTTTCGAATTTAGTATGTAAATTTACTTCTAAATACGATTCCAGAAATTTTTATTATACTTAACGCGGGGTTTAAAAAGCAGATTAAATTATCCACCCTTTTTACAGTGTTACAATATAAGCTATTCCAATTCATTACATTCGTTACAACTTACAATGTTCTGAATTATTTTTGGTAAAAAAAAAAAAGTCTAGAATCGTGGACACAAAACAAGAGACATAATTTGCATGCGCAAAAATAAAAGTAATTTTATTAATACACTTATGTCGTGAGTGGTTGATTTTAAATCAAGTGACTACAGTACACGATTACTCAAAGCAAACAGTAGCTGTCTGGCTCAAATTCTGTAGGAATGTGTTATATTATGTCACTGAAAAAAAATAAAATAACAGGTCCAGACAAAATAGTGGAGATTCATGAAACATTGACCTTTTTTTCTTGTAAGCAAAAAGAACATATAATCGCGGGCTCATCAACTTTGGGAGAATTGAAAGAAATTCTGAAGAATTTAAATTACTTTGTAGAATTTGTTCCTGATAGTTCTAGAAGGAGTCATCCAAAGACATTGAACAAGGTTCTACGATCATTAGTGATGGTTAATCCGCTTATAATGGGCTCTCTAAAAGATCTAGCCCACAATAACAAAAAAAAGTTACATGAACTTTTAACTTTCAGTTCATACTCAAATTAGAGAATATGATTTTTATTTCATAGGCGTTTTCTCAGAGAAAAAGGGACCAACAAGCATCTGCACGAATGGGAATATGTGATTTCGAATAAAATCAAAAAATGTATTTAAGAAATATAAACAATGAATAATAAACGAACTCGGGAAATGGTTCCGATTCTAAACTTGATATCAAAGAAATAATAATGCATAATTTTAATTAAATTATCTTATTTACTACTACGAACTGTTCGTTCTTCGAAAACTTGATTCAATTTTAAATACCTTTAAACGTACTCGTACTGTAAATTCATTTTTAATTGAATTGATTTTGATAGAAGTTCCTTAATGATTATTGTACATCGGTTACTTGTCTTTTTATAACAAAAACAATATATGCACTCTAGGAATTTTAATTTTTTTCCCATTCACAATAAAGGGGAAATATCTAATCTAATTTTAAACAAATCTTACTTCAAAATATTGCAGAAATGCATTTTTTAACATGGGAGTGATGAAAAAAATCAGGAAAATATTCTCCATAATCTAATGCTTTAGGTTCTTTGGTTTTAAATTTACTATAGTTATCAATCCTATTCTCTAATATGGACATCCATATTTACAAAAATCCACACATATTAACTCTTTTTAAAATATTGGGGATCACTGAATTGTAGTAAGCTTTTTCATTTATGATTAATAAATATGGTTTGCTTAATAACTACATCACCTAACTGGTACAAATTAATACAGAAATTTAAAACTCTATAAATTATTCTAATTAAAATGTTTAAAAAATTATAACAACTCTTGTAAAAATTCATTATTCATCAAAGAAATGTTTTTTCTTAATAGTCTCCATAATATATCTGATTCATAAAAGCAATTAAAAGCTTTTCTAATTAAATAATGTCTTAGTTTTATTGCATCTTTTTATTTTACAAAATAAATTGATTTAAATTCAGGGTGTTCTGCTTTTAACTAATATAAACTTTAAGCAGTACAAAAATTAATTTTTCAAAATTTCATAAAATTAAATAAGTGGGGAGTGGGTAACATGTATGGTTGGGGCATTTTTTCATTGTGGTATGCTCATTTTTTAGTGAATCTTTGGAGGTACCTAACTTTAATAAATAAACTCTCTTTAATATGCATTCTTATTGATAACTGGTTAGTAATTGTTATTGTATAATCTGATTGTAACACATTTTCTATTTGTAGTCATGTCAGTTCTTTAGGCATAGTATCCAAATGATTTTGGTCTGAAAAATTGTGAAACAAAATTCTAGCTTGAGGTGAGATAAATTAAGGATGTCCTATACAAATTTTCATGTTGGTATTATTTGCCATACCATCTGGTTAAAGAACAATCCAAGCAGATGATATACTTCAGGAAGTTGATTTGTTCTATCTTATACATGTAAATCTCCTAAATTGGATTAAAAATAAAACCGAACAATTTTTTTTAGATATGTAAAGATTGACAAGTTAAAAAAAAAAAAAAAAAGATGCATTTTATTCCAAAAAATATATTCATTCACTATTTTCATTTTTTTATTTTATTTTTTTTAATTTGTTCTAAATCTTTCAATCTGTGTATATTTTTTTATACTCGCCCAATATTAGTTGCAAATTTAAATTTTGAAATAATCAAACAAATAGTCAAAAATATAGCTGAATCAGTCTTGCATCTTTATTTTTTAAGCAATAAAGATTTATGGGCAGTTGGCTTATTGCTAGACTTTATATTCATATCAAACTCTATTGTATTATTTTATATTTTGTTTTGATATTTTCAGTTACAAAATTTTATAAATTAGGATATCAAATTAAGTATAAAATTTTATTAAGTATTTCTATCTAATAAAAACCCTCACTTTTTCCATATTTATTACATGTCAATATATTTATGCATTCATTTAATAAAGTAACATTTATTTGTTATTTCATTCTAGTTTCAACTGCAACCCAAAGAAGGAAAGATTCATTAAAACCAGAAATTCACCACAAACGAAATGGAATATTCTCAATATTTTCTATCCCTGAAATAAGTGTAAATAGTTATTTTCTACTGGTTTACTAATTTTAGAAACAGTAGTTGCTATCTGTACATTCCTTTGCAAGTACAACATCAGCAATTTCTGATTCAAGAGAACAGAGGTTGCCGTTTTTTGATCACAGATTATTATAATGTTAACAGATAACAACAATGAAACAATAACTAGAAGTAATGAGGACAACAATATGAACCCAGTTACCAATAATAATAATAATGAGGATGAAGAGGAGAACAAAGATGATGACTTGAAAAAAACATATCATCATTCTTCAAGCACTGACTCTGGTGGTAGCAGCTGTGACTTTATTGAATTACCGTCCGAAGATGTCTTCAAGAATTTGAAGAATGCACGTGGTTTTGCTATTGACATTGGTAAGTAGATATGTAGATATGTTTTTTTTTTTTTTTTTTTTTTATTAATTATTGCTGCTTCTTGCTTTCCTGCTTATTGGAAATCATTTTTTGTATTTCCTGTTTTTAAGAACTCTGGCAAACCATTTAATCCTTCTAACAATTGACCTATTAGCCTTTTTTTAGCAATACATTAAGGGTTTTAATCAACTCCAAATTGGTTAAGAATTTCACCTCACAGTCTTCTTTCAGACTAACAATATGGCTTTTACTTCTATAGGTCAATCTCTGATGTTTTAACAGCTATTACTGAAAGAGTCTGTCAAGCTTTAGATAAGAATGAGGAAGCTTGGGCTGTTGTGCTGGATATCTCAAATACATTTGACAGTGTTTGGCATGCTGGTCTTCACAGGTTGAAAGTTTATGGTATTTCTGACAAACTTTTGATTTGATTCAATCTTTTTTTTATCAAATCGTGAAATGAAAGTTGTCTTGACTGGATACTCTTCTAGATCTTTTTACATTAATGTGGATACCCCCCAGGGCTCTATCCTTGAACCCATGTTGTTCCTAATTTTCAATGATCTTCCTGATGTCATAAATTCTCATCTCGATATCTATCCAATGAGACAACTATTTACTCATGTCTTAATGGTAAGTCTCATCGGTTCAATAAGGTCAAATTAACAGTTGATCTCTGAAATGATTTACGTTCTGTTGTTAACTGAGGTAAGAAATGGCTTGTTAATTTAGCAGTTTCAAAACTAAATTTCTCATTTGTTTTAGAGAACCTTTTTTTGCCTTCCATCAGTGTGGCTGATCCTAATCTCGAGGAGACTGACTCATTGCACCTTCTTGGGCTAACGTTTTCTGCTGACAAGAAATGAAAGATTATATTGAATCAAATGTTAGGTCTGATGCTAGGAAAGTTGATTCACAATGCTGTGATAGATAATTTTTCTTCCAGAATCTGTCTTATGCCTTTATAAGTCTACCATTCATCCAGGCATTGAATATTGCTGCCACATCTGGTCTGCTGCTTCTGCTAAATATTTAGAAACTCTTCCAAAGAAGAATCTGCAATGTTCTGACTAGGCATTTCGGCTTCAGTCACTTTCCCACTACCATAACATGTCTTGCCTGTGCATTTTCTATAAATATTTTCATGGTAATTGTTCTAATGAGCTTTCCTCTTTGCTACATTGGGTTTAAGTGTAGTACTACATTGTAACCGTAAGTTCTATGTTAAGTTTCTTCTCTTCCCGCTTCTTGTTTTCCAGTTAACTTTGATCTTCAAAAATTTAAATGCAATATCAATTGTTATCTTTTGTCTTCCTGTTCTTTCATTGTTCTCTTTCCTTAATGTTTTTCTTTATCTCATATTCTTTTATATTCTGTAACCACTGACATCTTAATGACTTTGCCTTGCTTGGGGTAAAATGATTAAAAAATATTTGTCTGCTGCATATATGCTTCAAAATTTTTCTTTCATTGAATAAAAAAAAGAAAAGTTATTAAGTGACGACAGTATTGTTGGAAGAATATATGAAATTTATGGCAGAGGAAATAACTTGTAATCAATGACCTTATTTTTAAGATGAGTGGATATCATGTCTTTACATGTTAAAATTTTTCAGCAGATAAAATCTTTTAAATGATTTTTGATTTTTTTTTTTTTTTTTTTTTTACATTACAATCCAAACATGACATAATTTTCAATCTATTATCTATTTAAGATCTTGTTTCATTTCATCCTTAACCTGGTCAAAGTGTCAACTAATTTAAATATGGAAGTTTAATCTGATATATATGCATGTGTGTGTATAAGATAATTGTTTAAAATAAATTTAATATTGACAGTTCATTTTAGATGGGTTCTATCTTTTCACCCATGTACTGGGTATCTTTGGAAAATACTTTTCATATTATACAGTACTTGACAAAAATTAAAGAATTGCAACACTTGAAGGATCTTTACTTCGTTTTTCAGTTCATAGTAAATAAAATAATCACAGAAAGGATAAAATAGCTGAATAGTCTGGCTTCAAAAAATATAAATTAAATGCAAATATTTTAACTAATAAAATATTTTCCACATTAAATAAAGGAAAAACAAACTAATCATCAAAAAAAATCACAATGAGTACTTTGTTACTCATCCTCAGTCTTTTTCAATGGCCTAAATTCTTTAACATTTTAATTTGGAAATGTAACAAATATATGCAGATGTCAAGTGTCTGAGGTCACAAAAGAATAAAGCAAGCTGCAAATGGGCAGCAACACAAAGTTTCTGTCAAATACCAATTGCTAGCCACTCAAAACCAGGAGCATTTTTATCTGAATAATCATAAAGTGTATGTAAATACACTTGAGACAGCCATGATTGTTGAGATAAAAATTTACATGAGCTGATAAGCCCTTAGAAAGAGATTTAAAAATAAGGTCTGAAACAGTTACATGCATATAACATGTAGGTATTTTGGTTACTCAAATAGTAATTGACTGTTTTGCAAGTTGGAGTCTTGTCATGATAATTTTTAAAAATTTCTACCATAAATTTTCAACCTGATTAACATCTGGACTGTTTGCCAGCCATATCAATGATATTCCTAAAGAAAACCTTAAGTCTTTTCTTTGTAGCAAAAAAGACTTCAATATCATCAAAACTAGACAAAAGTTCCAGTACTAATGACCTTGTCCAATGCAGATGTTATCAATCGCTGAATATGGCTTTTATCTGATCATTCACTCACTATAATTGCTTCTATATTGTCCACTGTAACATTGTTTTCTTTGGTTTAGATTTTTGTGCTAGTTTTTGACTTTTCTCTCTGTAACTTTCACTACATTCAGTTTAATTCTTTCAGTTCAAACACAATGACTACTGTTTCAATACTGTTTTTCATTTCATTTTCTCTTCTCTTGGTCTATGATGGTGCTTGACTGGGTTGTTTAGAGAAAGCAACTCTGATTCTCTGTTCTCAAATAGATCCCTTTTGATATTGGGTAGATGAAGACTATTGCATGATATTGGATGCAGACTTCTCTTTTGGACCATTGGCCTTTCTCTCAGAGCAATGAGAAGAGTAAGCATTCACATGGTGCCAACCAGTAAAAGATCATTGGAAAATGTACATGTAGCACACCTCTGCTCTTCAAAGACAATTTTCTTCCAAGTCAAGTCTGTACCAATGTTCTGATTTTGACAGTGTGTGACTGTTAACAAGACAACACTGGACGCCACCGTATCTAGACTTGTGACATCACTAACTGGACCTTGGGGGGACTGGCAATTAGTTATGGTTCCAGTTTTACACTATAATATTCAAGTGCTGACTGTGAGAGTGACCACCTTCCAGTTATATGTAATCTCTGGATAAAACTATGAAAATTAAAGAAAACCAAAGCAGCACCAAAATTGCAAAGAGATTTATACTGACAGCGTTAAAAGTAAATACAATAAATTAAATAAGAATGGGAAGTCCAGAAGTTTTAAGAAAATTGGCACCCCCCCCAAAAAAAAACAGATACTTATAATTAGAATCAGAAAGACAGTTAAATTTCTAAGATAAATGATGAAAATGGCAGGCTTTGTACTTTCAATTTGTTTTATTTAAGTTATCATTTCCTCACAAAACTTTCACAACTTTTTACAACTGTATAATTTTCCTTTCTTGCTCTCCAATGTTAAGTAGAGAAAGTACTCACTTTATTTTTTTCTTATAACTTCTAATTTGTTTAACTTTGAGGAGACATAAGAATCTGTGGCTCTGATATAACCTCATTCTTTAGTCATATAAATAAAAATCTTTTGATTATCTGTTTTGTGTGTGTGTATATATATATATTAGCAGCATTATCCTGTGTCACTTGGGTTTATTCAAAAAAAGATCACGAACCACATCCAATCTGTAAAGTTAAAATAAAGATTTTTCTTTAGTGCCTCTTATCTATATGGTGAAAAATTATAATGACATGAAGTGAGAAAGTTATAATGACATAACAGGAGAAAGTTGATTTTTACAGAAGCAAAGAAGATACAAGAAAATTTGTCAGCAAATGAAGTGTACATTAATCGCAATCGATTTTTGAAAATTGTTGAGGAGAAATGCTTTGTTGACAGCTTCTGCTCAAACTACATCGAATGAACAACATACATTGGAAGGAGAAGAAATTCAAAAAAAACTTCTAGCAGCTGTGACAAGGCTGAAAACTAATGTTCACAAAGACTGTATAGAATTGTTCTTTACCCCTCAGTTTCAGACATGGCAAAATAAATAGACATAGTAAACAACTCAAAAATATGCAAAGTTGGTGTTATTAACAAATTAAGTTATTTTTTTTTTATATTCTGAAAGACTTTAAATGTCAAACATTGATTTTTATGCCCATATATTTAGTCTGAAGTAATCACTCAAAATATGCAATGGCATTTTTTCCACAGAATTCTGTACTCAGTTGGTAGTTATTTTGTGAGAGATATATTTAGGGGAATAAATTTTCCACGATAACAGAATTGTGGCTGGAACCACGGAATTGTTAGTCTTAAATGGAATCTGCGTTTTTAATGTAATTTTCAATAACAAATTGTTTTTTTTTTTTTTCTTTTTTTAATTCTTTCAAAACTTAATAACTGTCTCTCCAATTTTGTTAAACATTTTAATAAATATACCAATAACATAACATAGTTATTTCCTTAAAATTTGTTTTTATAAGTCTTTGTAGTTTTTTTTCCTTATAAAACTTGAAAAATAATTAAGAATAAATGTTTACATAAAAAAAAAAAGAAAAGTAGGTTGTCGATTTTCTGAGAATATGTTGGCTAGTCTATTTTTAAATATTTTATAACTTTTCTAAGAAACTGTATCTTGCAAACAAGATGAAAGTTGTTATAAAATAAAATAAGACATATCTCGGCTGATTTACAGGCAAATACTCAAGAGCGAGAACCGGATGTAAACGGGACAAAGCCCCGTCACAAAATGACCATTATCTTTCTTTACAAATGTTCCCAACACATGTGTTCCGGTCGAAAAATAAAATAATATTTAAAGTGCTCTATTTTTCGTCCAATAAAAATGCTTCCCTCCTAATTATACTCGCTTCATTTTTCGAGCCTGTTAAGCCATAAAAAAATGCTATAAAAGGGGTCACACAGAAGTTCAACAGTCAGTCCACAGGTGCCCTGGATAGAGACCTGTCACGTTCAGCTGCTGACAGCAGGGGAGCGTCAACCACCGCCAACATGTGTGAACTACTATGAGAGGTTGACCTAGACCAGAAACCGGCTTATGAACTTTACCACAAGGTAGCTGTCCCAAACCCTCACGTTCCTGTTGAAATAAACCACATAAATCTATTTTTACTGTTGTCGTATTTCTTTCTTGCAACCATACGCTTGTCTATAACAAAGTCAAAAGGTCACAGCTTGGTTGTGGCCACCACAATCCATTGCTAAAGTGGAAATGGAAGACAGACATTAGTTGATGTCAAAATTGGAGGGGGAGAGAAATCAAACCAATAAGTTTAACAAATTCATTTTCTTTAAATGCTATCACGTACCATACAATTTAGAAATAAAGAAAAACAATTCACCAAAAACACCATTCTATGAAACAACTGCTCTGAAGCTTACCGTCACACAGCGATTCTCCCGGATTAATAATTGCATCTTCAGTGCTTCACTATTGTAAAAAAATTTAAATTGAACAAAAAATCCTTTAATAACATTAACTACCAATGATTATTTTTTCATATTTTATTTATATTTTGTAATCTAAACCAGTTGTATGAATAAAAAACAAATTGCCAAGATGACTGAATCAAATAATTATAATTATAATGGGCCTGCTCCTCTTAAAAGAAAAAGAAATTGACCCCAGTAGCTAACATTTGGTCTAAAGCCAGAGTAGAGCAATTTCCTGATGACTTTTATGCAGAAGAATGTTATTTTACAAATTCTATCTCTATAGTGTTGACATTTTTAGAGTTATCACATCAAATCAAAAACTCATTTGACAAAAAAGTCTTCAAAAATGTTGAATCAACTGAAGCAGAAGACAATCACAACTTTGTTAAAGAGTAAAGAGGTACGAGATGATTTTGTTCTTAATTTTTTGAAAATGTGCACTTTGTCTGACATTCCCCTACCCAAAATTGGCAAAATGAAGCCATTCATATTAAAACATTGTAAAGAAGGTGGTGCTATTCCAGGTGTCAACTGTGTTAGGCAACTTCATCTACCAAAATTGTGAGTTTGTCACTTTGCTGCCCTGAAAGCCAAGCTTGCTAATCGATCAGTCAGCATCATAACAGAGAAAACAACTGTCATGACAACAGCATTTTGAATGTAATTGCAAGTATTAACGGGGAGTCATTTCTCATTGATGTTACGACCTTGTGAGAATGCAATCATCAAACTGTAAGTCAGGCATGCAGCCTATTGCAAAAAGGCTTATAAGGAAATGTTGTCAAATGTTTTTGTTAACAGTTGCAATGTGTTGTACTTAGTACATATTTTAAATCTTGTTGAAGTATTTTCACACTGGCCAACATTTGATAATGTTATCCAGTTCCCTACTTCCATCTAGTTAGCTTTTTTTTTAAAAAGCCTTGTCAGAAAATGCAATACTTAAAATGGCTTGAAGGTTCCTTGCCTAAGGAACAAGTGAAACTACCCCCTGTACCAGTGGCAACCAATTTAATGCAGCCAAATATCATAGGATATAGATAGGATTCTAGAACTAGTAGATGGTCAGCTACATCATGCCTCTTACCATAATTTGCACCTAAATCAGGATTTTATAAATGAGAATTTCACTCGTTTAATAACAGCTTTGACAAACTTAGAAGAAACTAAATCTCCACTTGCATGTGTTGTATATAACATGATGGAGAATGTAAAACAGTATTTGCATACTGGTACATCAAAAAAACAACATTTGGTCTAGAAAGTGATCATCTTCTGTCTGAACTAAAAAATCAGAGAGGGATAGTTATCTCAAATTTCCAAGATTTTTTCAGTACATCTTTTTCAAAACTAAATAAATACCTGGATACCCACCCTCTGTACAACTTTTACAAGGCAGCTCACCTGTTTGATCCTAGACAGCTACCCTGTATAGACCATGATCTTGACAGTTTTGTAGCCATCAAGTATTTGCAATGTCCTTCTGATCTTGAAGAATTCCAAATGTATGTGAATTACTAAGATGATTTACCAAATCCTTTTAATATCCCATCATTTTGGAATGCAAATAAGAGCAGATTTCCTCTTCTGAAACAGATTGCCAATAAGGTCATATGGATGCCTGTTACCAGCATAGATGCTGAACGTTCATTTTCTCAATAAAAATTTACTCAATAAACAATGTGAAAGTTTTACCCCTGAGAACAGCAAGCAACTCACAATGTTGTATTACAATGGAGATTTAGAGAAAAGATTTGAAGATTAGATATTTCTCAAATTAAGATTAACAGTTTTAAATTTGAGCAGTATTTCTAATTTGTTTTTTGATATTTTGTTACAAAGATTCAGTTATTATGATTTAATTACTGCTTTGTAAAATTTTAGTCAAAATGTTTGAATTTATTCAGATATTAATGTTATAGTGGAATTAGAATCTGTTAAAGCAGTTGTCAAAAAATACTATAAATGCAAATCTTTTTAAGGCAAAAAAAAAAAAACCAGTGATTTTTTTTTTTTTTTTTTTTAAACTTGAGCTGTATTATTAGTAGCAATTTAAATCTTAAAATGGACTTATTTTTTTCTTTTTTCAAAAAAAAAACATTTAGGTTAAGGAATAGCAAAAAAAAAAAAATAGTAAAAAAGAAAAAAAAAACAGTTGATATGAATGTTGAAATTATTTCTATTTATTGTTACAGGTGGATCTCTGACAAAGGTTGCTTATTGTTCAAATGTACAGAGAAAAACTTCCCTTGTATCAGATGAGTTTTCTGGTAAGGTAAGGCACAAGATTCATTTGTCAATCTAATTGTCAATAAGTGCAACCAATTTAAAATAATTTTTAAATGTTCTATAGAGTTTATAACCAAAGCAAAGTTAATGATAGAATTTGAATTCTGATATATCTCATGCAAAACCATGTAAATCTTGTTTCTATTGTGTAACTACATTATACAGTCAATAATTAAAAAAAAATGTGTATGTATTCTGACATCACAAAATGACACTCGTGTCTTTAAGAATTTTTGGATGAGAAGAAGAATGAATTTGAAAATTAAAGTACAATATATGTTATGGTGCTTAATAAATTGTAGGGAAGAAAAATGATGTTTGACTAGAAAAACACATGCTCAGTCTTTGTTTGTATTTCTTAGCAGGGTTCTCAAGCTAGAAACCGTCCTGGGTATGATGTTAAAATGCATCCAAAAGCAGGGCCTCTGATCAGGAGGTTTTTGATGAGCGTGAACAACCACTTTTTGCTGGTTTCCCAGGTCCATAATGACCCGGGTGGTAGCACCTTTTAGGGTCTCATTTGGGCAAAGAAGTGAACTCCCAGTTTTTTCCAGACCTTATAATCCTGGGTATGGTGATAATCATATCCAGATTTTGGTATGACTGCAGATTACTCCCAACAGCAAGGCCTCTGATAATGTTTTTTGAAAAAATAATGTGACTAGCAGTTTCTTTTTTTTCTGGAAAAGAGGTGTTGCTAGTTCTACGTTAAAAAAAAGTAGCAAACATTCTATACCTTTTCAAAAAATAATGTTATTAGTCTTTTATACCACTTTTTAATAGTACTATATATATATATATATATATAACTTAATTTGGCATTAAATGACCTACAGTGGTTGATATGCCATAAAACCCAACCAACCAAGCTAGAAAAATATACAAATTCTTTCTTGTAAAACTTTACTGTTGGAATTATAACACTGTGCTAGTGTCTATTGCTAAATGAGACCCTTAGTTTGCCTGAGAAGCTGGAACAATTCCCAGTCTGGTTAATTGTTAAGATACTCTCTACAAAAGTTTCACAATTGAATTTTGAATTCAACACATTTTGGTGACTACTCCTTATGCCTCATATAAATTAGTGCAAATGTTTAAGTTTTACTTGTTATTTCCTGCATTGGTAACAAAAAGTAAAGTCAAACTTTTGGAAATTGCAACAAAGTGTAACTTACAAGTTTACTTATCATATTATAACTGGTGTCTGTTATGTGAAGATGAAAAAGCACATTAACTTACCTTTTCCCCACTGATGACATAATTGGGAGAAAACAAAATGGGGGAAAAATTGAAAATCAAGTAAGTGGAGTATTTATTAGGTGAAAGAAGGAAATATTATGTATTATGACATGTTAAGTGTAAGGGCTTCAGTATCATACACTTATTAATACATTGGATGTAATTGGTGGTTGATATGATTGTATTTGATCACATCATTGAGATTGATGTTGTAATCAATGTGGGCGTAATTAACAAGCTGGGGTTAGAGGCATCATCATTGACGGAATTAGTGTGAGACTTAACAAATCATGACACTAAGCATGCAAACAAGAGGTATGGGGGACCAGGAAAAAAATGAGGTGAGCCCTTGCAAAGCTGAAGATGAGGATTTTTGTGCTGAGTTCAACAGTAGAAAATTTAAAATAGCATGACTCTAGACATATACACCTCCCAAATTGAAGAACAGTGGGCATTTGTGAAAGTTTTATGTTGGGAGATAAGTGGGTGGACTTTGAGAGAGAAGTTGAGAGTTAGGTTTGTAGAAGGGGAAAATGGCTTGCCTCCTGGAACAAAATGCGCTCGTGTGTGTCTTGTGTGCAAAATATGTGACAGAAAATATAGCCAATCTAAAAGCTGCCATTTAAGAACTCGTTCTTGGAGCTTAGAGATTTTGTGATACTGGTGGAGAACGTTGATGAGCCTTCAACAAGTTGTCATGCTTTGTGTGTGAAGTTTTCTGTTAGTCTCACTGATTGTGATTTGTAAACTAAACTACAAGAAAATTGAGTGGGTTGCTGGGACAACCTTTGTCAATCAGGATTAACCCCACTAAGGATTTTTGCCAGTCACTCGAATTCAAACTACAAGCTATTTCGGCATTCCAATAGGCATAATGTTAGAAGGTAAATTCCATAAGAAAATCATTCCTGAGTTTGATGGCTCAGTGTTTGGACCATCTATGGTCAAATGGGTTGAAAAGGAAGAACTTGTATGTAAGCTGTGCAGTATAAAACATCTTGAACAGATAATCCCCTCAAGGACACATGGCACAGTGCATAAAGGCATTGGTTAGATCCAGTGACAGACACAAAGAGTGTGAGTTCAAAACCCGGTTAAGGCAGTGGAGAACTTTCAGAGGGAAAATTAGCAGGAGATAACTGATATATGACATCCATCAAACATGGCACATGGAACTAGAACAGTCTACACCCCAGTGATCGAAATAAAGGGTTCAGTTAGGAAATTTAACCACCTATCTTTGCGTCAGTTTAACGACCAAAACGTTGTGACAAATATGGTGACAAAGATGAGGACAATAGTCCGACTAATGTAAATACTGTACATAATACCTCATCACGGAAATATACACACTCTGAAAAATCTACATTGTATACAGCTTTTGCAATGGATGGGTTTGTGGTGTATGAGCAATTCATTGAGCGACAGCTTTGTTGTGAGGAGTCATTGAACATATACTTGGCGGAGTTGCGAAAACTATTGGTATTATTCAGTGGAATGAGTGACCGGGGACTGGCATGTGTGTTCATGGGCAGGTGAAGTGGCTTCTTTGCATTTTGGCCTGGATGGATGCTCTAGTGATTGATCAGCTGTTGGCTTGAGTGTGAGCAATTATGAAACAATAGGTGATGCAGGATGGTCTAGCAGTTGTAGTATACAAAAAACAAGCACATTAATGCGATGTTGACAGCTATCAATCTGGTGTTGCAGTGGAAGGTGATTGTGATTCACCTGAAGACAGATTCAGCATATGTACATCCCTGAGTTTCTGATACGCTGTCTGGATAAACAAGAGTGCACACAAAGGCGGTGGCAGAAATGTTAATAAGGCATTGACTCGGCACACTCAGGGAACTGGCTGAATAATATTGGCTAACAATCAACATGGGACTTGTCAGATCTCATGAGAACCAAGCCAAGCAACTTACCAGAGTGCCTCAATGATGGCTAGATGCACTTCAAAAAGAAATGGAGCCAGTGTGTGTTGTGTCTGTAGAACAGCAGGAATCCACTCATATACAAACCATCCAACAATGAAGTGGGCATCTCATCATGAGATGCATGTTATATTTTGTAAAACAGGTCAGGCCTGAAGTCTCAAAAGCAGCAGTTCAAGTGGTAGTCAGAGATTGCGAGGCATGCAAGTCCATAGATCTGATGCCAGTGCATTGGGAAGTTTGAAAGCTGGGTGTGCATGATATTGAGAGCAGAGTGGGAATGGCTATAAACCATTATGGAGGCCAGCATTATCTGACTGTGGCCCTAGTCAATTTTCCATTTGGCAGCATTTACCATGTCAAGACTTTGCCAACATCATCCAGCAGTTGATCTCTATTCTATGAGAGAGCCACCTGCCAAGCTATTTATCAGCAATGATGAGGCATCCGACTGAGATTTCAGTGTGCCTATGTGCCATCAAGGATTGGTATTATAGAGAAATGTCATCATTCCATCAAGTGAATTGCCACCAGAACACAATGTTCCATCAGGGTGGCATTATATTGGTATAACATGATGCCTAAAGATGACGCAACAGCTGTGACGGCACCAGCTAACTCTATATATAAATATCAGACCTGCATAAAGGGTGTTGATGTTGCACCACTACTTGAACATATAGATCCTAGAGGCTACAGTGTAGGAGACGCAGTTTGGATAAAGGCCCCGCATGGTCAATGCATGATGCAATTTAAAAAAAAAGGGAGAGTGACAGGATCTATAGCCCACAATCAGTCTTTGTCAATGGAATACCATACCACATCAAAGATCTTCGTCCTTGTCACAGATCTATTTCTTCAGAAGCTGACAGTAATGATATGTCATCTGAGAGCAATTCAGAATGCTGCTGCATTTCAGAGCAGTCGGATGTGTCATCTGCAAAACCAGGAAAAAATAGTCAGAAGATGACGATGATGATGCTTCGAACATGAGAGAACCTGTAGACACAAATGAGGAGGTCAACAAACGCAATCAACTTTATATTGAAGCCTGCATCAAAGGAGACCACCATCTTTTGCCACTTATGAGATCAGGGTGGAGTGTAGAAGGGTAAATGGCTTGCCTCCCAGAACAAAGTGCTCGTGCATGTCTCGTGCAAAATACATGACAGAAAATATGGCCGATCCAAAACCTGCCATTTAAGAACAACTCTGTCTATATTTCTGAGAGGAGGTATTATGTACATTATTTACATTATTCGGACTATTGTCCTCATCTTTGTTGCCATATTTATTACGTTTCGGCTTCAGGTGGTTTGAATGTTGAACTTAACCCTTTATTTCGCTCACTGAGGTAGACTGTTCTTGTTCCACATGCCATATTTAATGGATGTTAGTTATCAGTTATATCCTGTTAATTTCCCTCTAAAAGTTCTCCACTGCCTCAACCGGGTATTGAACTCGCACTCTTTGGGTCCTGTCACTGGATCTGACCAAGTGTGAGTTCAGCGAAATAAAGGGTTAACTTCGACATTCCAACCACCTGAAGAAGGCTGCAGCGTACAACGGCCGAAACGTTGTAATAAATATGGCGACAAAGATAAGGACAATAGTCTGAATAATGTAAATAATGTAAGAACAACTCATTCTCGCTTAGAGATTTTGCAACACTGGTGGAGAATGCTGATGATTCAAGTGGTCATGCTTTGTTTGTAAAGTTTCACATTGGTCTCACCAATTGTGATTTGTAAACCAAACTACAAGAAAAAAAAGTGACTTGCCTGGAGAACCTTTCTCACTCATGATTAAC